AGTGTAATTCCTTAATCACTTCTCATGCCTGCTCAAGGCCACCAAATACAGGAGAAAAACATTTTTTGTGGTTACATGCATTTTTGTAAAGCTGGCAGCTGAGGTAACTGCAAGGTAGGAAGGAATTGTCCGGTATCATCCTGGATCAATTAGATCAGCAAACTAGACGAGTCATGTAGATTATGTGCACAAAGATGAAAGGATCAAGAGTGCAGATTATGTTTATTAATGACAAATTCAATGCAGTTTATTCCATAATTTCCAAAATAAAGGAATTTATTACCATAGATGTTATATAAATCTGTGTTAGAGTAACATTTAGGATCTTGCTTAAATGTATACCAGTATAATCTTGCCCCCTGGCTAAACTATTGATTTCAGTGAGAGCTGGATTAGGCCTGAAAAGACAAAAAATTCAGAGCATTGTGACCGATGAATACTGGTGTCATCAGCATGCTACATATAGAATAGCAAAGCCAAAAACATTTGTATCTGTACAAAATCATAACTACAGATATTTTCATTTAGGAACTGGGGAAAAGTGTGGCCGGCCACCTACTATTAAGAACGGAGACATAACTACTTTATCCCTAAAAGAGTACGTATTTGGCTCTTCGGTAGAATTCAAATGCCAGCATTATTACATAATACAAGGAGAACGGAAATCATACTGTTACAATGGAAACTGGACAAAACCACCAGTTTGTTTAGGTAAGAAAAATATTCAGTAGTAAAAAGTTTTCAATTTATAACTAAATTAATTTTATAACCCATGATCTCCTGGCTACTATTTTGTCATTTCTTTTTCATGAAGCTGAAATTTATTTTCAAAGCTGTCACTGCATGACTTTTTTTTTTTTTTTTTTTTTAGTGACATGTAAATTTAACAGCATAATTAAATAGAGCTGATTAAAGTCTTGGAAAATATTTTTATTAAAATTTTTAAAAAAATATCTCCCTATTTTTCTATTTAAAATGTTTCAATGGTAATTTTCAAACCAGCTTTATGATTAACAAACCAGCTAAAAAGGAAAAGACAGAGTGAAGTTAATTGGATTAAACCATATTTGCTCCTACCTAAGGCAAAGAGCCAGAACATTATATAGCCAAATATCCAGCATCAAGGAGTCCAGCTGCCATTCTAACCAGACTAACATTCACATCTGACTATCAATTTGATTCTGGTAGTTGATGTGATGGTTCTAGCAGCATGATGAACCAAGCTTGAGAGAGTAAAAATTTCTTTTTAAATACACTTGTGAGAAATGTGCCATCCCCTCATGAATAAGAGTGGGAAAAAGTAAAAGGAGTTAAGAACATTGACAAACTGGAAGGAATAAAGAAGTAGCAAGGAGCAGCCAGTTACAAAATGGCCACTTTAGGTTATGCCAAATGAAAAGGACTAGTCCTCGAAACAGTATGTTGGGGGGAAAAGTTCCTATAAGAGGCCAAATTTATACCAGCAGAGTTAGTAAGGGTCAGGATATCACGAAGGAATGGGTTATTGCTCTGTTTGCATGCTGCCTCTATATCCAGTGGTGTATTACATTCATAGAGCTGCAGATGGAATAAACTGTAGCTACAAAGTTTTCAGCAGCTCCATGTGTGATACTTCTCACCAGCGAGAAATTTTTTTTGATTTCCCCCCATAGTGGCAGTAGGAATGGGGAAGTAAGAACTTACTTGCCACAAATCTGATAAGTAAGAGGGCCTGGGGATACCTGAGGCAGCTGGCATGCTACCGGAGCCAGTAGGGACAAGGGTATTGGTGGGCCAGTGGGGGGTAGGGGTGCTATGGAAGGGAGACTGAAAGAGGGATTAGTGATGGAAGGTGGGGTGTGGAAGTCTAGCCCAGCAGGGGTGGGAAGGCAAGGGTGGATCAGTGGGAGCTGGGGGGAGGGTCAGGAAAAAGGGTGGTTGAGAATATAGCGGAACCTCTAGAATATAGCAAGCCCGTCACCTTGGAGCACTGTAATTCCTTAATCACTTCTCTTGCCTTCTCAAGACTGTCATGTACAGGAGAAAAGAAAAAAAAACATTGTTTGTCGTTACCTGCATTTTTGTAAAACTGGCAGCTTCCTTCATTTTGCCCCTTTCCCAAAACCGTCCCTCCTCTGCCCCGCCCTAACTGCTGTCACCACCACCTCTGCCTCCCTGGGGATTCCACATGACAGAGAGGCCACCTAAATTACCTCAAAATTAGGCATTGCAGCATCACCCACTACCTGGGAAGAGCACTTGCAGTTGCCTGCCCACGACCCAGTTGAATGGGCTTGACATCTCACAGGACACTGAACAGCTCCTGAATAAACTCTACCTACCTCAGAGCTTGGTTTAGTTAACACTTTTTTCAAATATATTTTATTTAAACTTGTTCCTAATTTCTATTTTATGCTAGGTAAAGGCATTAAATTAATTGTAGATAGAAAACATTCCATTAGTTTCATGCTTTTATTGTCTTACTGCTTCATCACTAAAAGGAATGTTACACTCTTCTTGCAAATAGTCTAAAAACAGTGACATTACCCATTAAATTCAGATTCAGGTAACACTAATCATCTTTAGTAAGTGACTTTCAGAAAGTGGAAAAAACTGTTTGCTTTCTCCTAGGACTAAAGTTCCCTACTTGAAATCACATTTACATCATGTATTGAAGCCAACGAGCTTCAATGAGAGTCACAGAGGGCACAATGGCCCTTAATTATTTTATCATGGGATCTCCTTCAGTTTCACTGCAGGATTTTTCCATTTCGATTTCTATAACATTCTAATAATATTTTTGTTGTTGTTACAGAGCCATGTGTTATCACGCAAGAAGATATGAGATCACACAACATAGATCTAAAGTGGGCTTCAGCTCAAAAACTCTATGTGTCACATGGAGCTTTTGTAGAGTTTAAGTGTAGATCCAGTTTGTCTCCAAACTCTTCAAATAATCATAGAGTGCAGTGCCATGCGGGCCAAATACCTTATCCCCAATGCACTTAGAGATGGGTGAATGTAGGAGACTTCACTACATGTGAATGGCAAGTACCCTTTATTATTATGCTTATCAGTGGTCCCTCTGAAATGGATCCCCAGAGTTTTATCCTTCAAACAAGAACTACCACCAGATAGCAGTCACTCCAGGAATGGTATAAGCAACAACTAATTCATGTTAACTAATGCTATAGCGACACTTTTGGGTGTGCAGCTTTTTAGGAGTAATGCCTCCAGAAATAATCACAGCCAAGATGGTGGCAGACATAAGCAATCCTCAAATAGATCAAACAAAAGAATATAAAATTCCAGAGGTCCTTTAAAATGAACTGCAAAGAAAACAGTTTGTGCTCTTTCTTGCTTCTTTATGATGGCTAATGGCAGCCTAAAAACTAGAATTTCCCCCCCCCTTTCTTGGATATTGCACTAGAAATTGAGACCTAGTTTAGAATGGAAGACTAAGATGACTGGAGAATGAGCGTAATTGTGACATCACAAGAACCAAGAGTGAAAATTAAGCAAATAAAACAGGATGTGATTTTTAGTCGGATTGTAATTCTTTGTGTTTTGTTTTTGTTAATTGTTTAATTTCAGTTACCAAGATCTCATGCCCCTACAATTAAGTATGTTAGAGTGTACAATAAACATGCTCTGAGACCTCGCAGTGGTCCTCCAGCAAAACCAGGGAAATCCATATGCCTGATATTTCTAAAGTAGAAAAAAAAGCAATTAAAAAACTTTGTAAACAAGAAGAGTCCTTTCAGGCCTTCTTGCTACTTTATAAAGAAACAAAAGGGGACAGAAGCTAATTTAAAAAAAAATTGCAGGTCACCTTTAAAGAACATGCTTTCTGTTCTCTCATACGTTCACTGGTATCTTCTAAACCCTGCTTAGCTTCCAACAGTGATCTCCCATATTCCTCAGGATGGCCACTCTGAAATGGACCTGCACCTCAATTTTATCAAATATTACCCACTTCTGTTGCTTGAGGCAGATTCTCACTTCACCAGAATTATATAAAACCCACTCATATTGCCACTGGCCCATCCACTACAGGCTGCATATGCTACGTACACCAGAAGAAAGAAAGCGAACAAACCTTACATGAGAGAATGCATCAAGCAGATGTCCAAATGGTCAGAGTATCCTAGCTGGCAATGAATTCACATTTCCCTATGCCTTCCCAGTCAAGAAGCACAAATAAACCAAAATTGTTTTATCATACCTATATTGTGGTACTGTTACCGCCTGAGGGGCTCGAGGCGGACTTCAAATGGTCCGTTG